AGGGGGAAAGGGGAAGGGTTAGTTGCTGCAGGGCAAGCAGTTAGCTAGCTCTCCAGGAAGCTCTCTCAGCACCACAGCAAACTTTGGAAAGAAAGAAAAAAGACTCTGAAAGACAGAAATAAACTTCTCTTCTCAGACTATCACTAACTACTATTCTAAGCCTGAGGTGTCTCTCTGCCCCCACTCCCTTACCAGAGGGTAGGAGCTCTCTGCCACTCCTCCAAGAGGGGAGTGGGAAATTGACCCCACCCCCACCTCTGAGTTTTTTTTCCCCTAGTCTGGAATTTCCAGCACTGGACTGACTTGTCTGATTTTTCAAGTCTCCCCTGCTGCTTTTTTTTTCCTTCTCTGTTCGCTCCCAACCCCCAAAAATTTTAGCCACACTTTCTGGAAGACATTAGCCGCATTTTTAAACCTTTTTAAGGGGATGGGGGGGGGAAATCCAACAGTTGGAAGGCTTTCTTTAAAAAAAATTATACATTATCACCTCCCTTTTTTCTCACCCCCCCCAAAAATGGTAGAATGTTTTTCCACCAAAATTTTTCCAAAAAAAATTTTTTCTCTCGTTTTTAATCAACTAACAAACCTGAAAGGCTTTTTTTTAAAACGTGGTAATATCAATGTTGAAATCTCCAAATGCTCCCCTTTTTAACTGGTTGGCCTACATTAAAAACAGTGGAAATAGACTTAAAACCTCCTCCCCAAAACACCCTCCCAAATAAATTCTACTAGTAATATTGAGGAAAATTTGAAAAAAGTAAGCACTTAAAAGTTTTGTTGACATTCCCTACACTTCAACTTTAAAACACCCATTCTAAGAAATCTTTTTCTGCAAGACTCAACGCCTTTAAAACTTTAGGCTGAGGATAGTTAATTGCTTTTTAAATGTATCAGAAGATAAGAATTACAATTTATCTTCTTTGGCCAAAGTTCTCCTTCCAGGAAACTAATAGAGTATCATTTCATTTTTTTCTACTTTGTATCAGAGAGAATTGTTAAGAAAGTTTAGTAATCCCTAATACTTTCAATGAGTAGTCCTAAAAAAAAAAAAGACAAGAAAAATACTATACCCTAGGAAAAGCTAATACTGAAAAGCAGAGCTATAATCTATTTATCACAAGTAAAGATTTCAGAGGCCAAGTTGATTAACTGATTAATTCAAAACACCATTGCAAATTTCTAAGTGGAAATTAAAATAAGAAAAAAATGAAGTCTGACTTTCCAGCTATATTTCCAAACAGGGCAGAAAACAATTTTAATTGTCTATGAAATTCAACTCATCATATCACCTCCCCCCCACACCCAGTATAATGAAATCTGGTTTTAATTTTTTTTAACTGAAAACGTCTTGTTAGACTTTAAGTTTTTTTAATCATCAGATGAAACTCTTATCTTCATCAAGAGGAATCATTCACTCTCCCCAGTTAGGATACTAATTCTCAAAAGCAATCACTAGGGCAAAATTTCCCTTAAAAGCTCCTCCCTCCACTTTTTTATCTTTTTCATCCCTCTGGCTTTTGTTGTTGTTTTTCATTCATTCATTTTCACCCGTAACCACAAGTCTTTTTCATTAAAGACAGACCCATTTTAGAAGGTGAACATTCTTGAGCCTGTTTTCAAACCTTTTCCTAACCTAATTGTTTCTTCTAGGTCTGTCCACAAATCTTTTCAAAAACAAACTTCTCTCTCTCTCTCTCTCTCTCTCTCTCTCTCTCTCTCTCTCTCTCTCTCTCTCTCTCTCTCTCTCTCAACACTCCCAACACAAAAATACTTTGGCCAAACATAAGATACCAAGTGAGGCTTTTAAGAGAAAAAAAAATCTAACCAAAGATCAATTGCAGAACATTTTCTCAAGTTAAAAACAATTTATTTTTAAAGGATTCACACTTACTCTGAATGACAAACAAAGATTTTTAAATAATTAACCAAGATTCTCAAAAAATCGTTAGCTCAGCTAATTTTAGTTTTACTTTGAGAAGTTACAACCAACAATTAACCTGAATAAATATCTCCTCAACTTTCTAAGTTGCACACACCCACAAAAACATTGTATGCATTCTTTTTAATTTTTTTCCCACAATACATTTAGTTATCAGTAGATGACCTCTTTTAAGGCACCTTCCTCCAGAAAGCATTCTTTTTAAAGATGATTGTTCAGTTTTCTTAAAAAGCCACCACTTCTTCAAATAGGCAGCAACTTTCCCAAGAATTTAAATATTCTTAATTTAACAATTTCAATTTTTTCAAGCCTTTCAAATTAAAACTCTTTCCCCAATTCCTTGAAAAACCTAATTTTTCTCAAGAGGTTTCTCCCAATTTTATTCTACTATTTAACAGTGACCACCATAGCAACACAATCAACTCTGGTAGATAGACTTCTATCTTTAATTATGAAAAAGGAGCTGAAGAGGAAACCAAAATATAGAAAAATAAAAATTTAAGTTAATCCAATTCAAATTTCTTTAGACTCAAAAAAATAAATGCAAATCAATTACTATTTTTATTTTGAAGTATGGTGCTCAATTCCCATGTTTTAAGCAGGTAAATATTAGTTATCAAATGGATATAAATTTAAAGATCAAAATGCACTTCAGAAATAGCTCTACTCAGATAAAACTGAGGCAGTGACACAAATCTTCATTGTTTTCTGGTTTTGCCCTCAATAAATAGAGAGGGCAGTCATAAAAAGTTTGGAGGGTTTTTAATTCAGCCATAAAAATAAAAAAAATAAGCTGATTCAGAACTTACTGTATCAGCAAGGAATGTGGTAAGAATGGCTTTATCCTCTCTCGCTTTCTCTTTCTCATTGTAAGTTTCTTTTTCAAAGGAACACAGAAATATCTGTATACACATATGGTTGTATGTGTTATCTAGAAGATGTTACAGTTAATTAACTAGCTCTTGTTCTATAAATCCAAATTACCATAAAGTCCAGTAAGTGAAAAAAATATTTTTCAGATACAAATGGAGAACGTACATCTTAACCACATGGTTTTTTAATAGCAAAATGGCAACAAAAACATCTCACTTTTCTCAATAGGAAAAGTCTCATTTTGGAAAAATAAATTGTGACCCCGAAGGGAAAAAAAAAGAAGAAACCTCAAGATTTGAGCTTGAAATTATATGGGGAGGGGGAAATATACAAAAGAAGTAGTCTAATCAGTTCTGGAAGGAAAGGAATAATTGTTACCACAGTCCTCTCCAGCGAGACCCCCACAACAGCCCCCCCCACTCAAAAGATTTCACTACACATTTGAGAAGGAGCAAGAGAAGGTGTTAGAGGTGACTTGGAAGAAAACAGATGGCTAGGGGAAAAACAAATGCATACTCCTACAATGGGAATAAAAAAATCTAAATATAATTAATTTATTTTGTTACATCTTGGTATTCCTTTGCATCTCCAAAAGAAAAAAAAGGGGAGGAGAAATGGGGGGGTGCATTCCATCTCTGTTTTTCAAAATTCCAGTTATCTAATGTTTCAAGTTTCCAGCTTCAACCTAAATCTCAGATTATGGAGTGCTCTTCATAATCTATTGAGGTGTCCTCCATGTGTATTGTGTCTCTGTTCTTTTCTCCCCAATCTCAAAGACTTTTAAATACAAGATTTTTTTTTAACCTTCCAATTTTATGGCCTCTTTTCACTTAACTCTAATTGTCTTTCCCGATACCAGAGTATTGAAGCCAATAGAGATTAAATCACAGACTCTATCAACATGTAACAAGCCACATTGATCAGCCCTGGCTACGATGTTACTTAAATAGCTGAAGTGAAATCACCCAGCAGATTTTTGGCCCCAAAACGTCAAACCTTTTAGCTCCTCAACCCAGAAAGTGCAGAGCCATTCACCCCTACCTTCCCACCCAGAAAAAAGCCAAGAACCACACAACAGAAATCTTGGAAATGGGGAGGGGGGGAACACATTAATCAGGCAATTCAGTCAGCCAGGGGAATGAGGGTAACTTCCCTCCATCATTAAGAATAAGAAGGGGGGGAGGGGAGAAAGAGAAGAAGGAAAGTCCATTTTGCGTGTGTGTGTGTGTGTGTGTGTGTGTGTGTGTGTGTGTGTGTGTGTGTGTGTGTGAGAGAGAGAGAGAGAGAGAGAGAGAGAGAGAGAGAGAGAGACTGAGACTGCTGCCTTTATCCTTTCCCATCTATAGTTCAAGTGGAGGGAGATTCTGAATCCAACATGAACAGGATTTGGGGGAGTGTGTGAGTTGTTCCTTCTTCACTGAGAGGAAAGGAAGGAGGGTTAAAGAACACACTACCCCTCCTTTGCATTCATCCAGGCAGTTCTTGGCCCTCCAAGAGCCCTTGCTCACAGCCTGAGCACAAAGCTCTCACCCCAGATGGTCCCCTCGCAACAATAGACTGATGGGGGTTGGGGGTTCCAAAAGGATAGTAAAGCAGTAGAATATTCTTTCAAAAATCCAGGAGTGGGAATGTGAGGAAGAGACTAGGAATCAGGGCCTGTGTAAACTGGCTTTAGCCTAACGAAGAGACAACCATCTTAAGAAGCATTCTTTGGGTGAAGGAATGGGGGAGGTCTCATCCAAGTTCCTTGTAAACCATGAGGGTATCATTCCCCGAAAAAAAAAAACTCAAAGTAGAAATAAGGCCAATGTAGAGGCATAAGAGGGGGGGAAGCACTGTAGGAAGTTGTATGTCCATAGTACTAAGAAACCAGGGAACTCTTGCAAACTTAGAGACCTTAGCTCTCCTTGAAGTGTGAGCCCCATTCCCTAAGCAAATTCCTCAGGCTTCCTTCATTTTCTGTTTTGATTTCTTTTTATTTTCCAAATCACTTTCTATATCCCACCCACACCCCCAACTTATCTTTTTTTCCAAAACAAACTGTAAAATACCTCCAAACAAGGTGACAACATCTCATCACCAGCCCCTAACATCCCAATAGAGGATGTTCTTCCATCTACCACATATGCATTGTAAAAGGCCTCTCAGCCCAAGGATTGATTTCCCCAAGGGTAAGGGTTTGCCCTACCTTTGTTTTTTAGGGACAGAGTGTTCAATCTCCAGCCTTTTCCCCTGCAGTTCCACTTTCCCTGAAGAAAATAAGAAAAAAGAAAAGAGTCTTATTAATGGAGGCCTGAATGGTGGGGTGGGGATTCGGGAGACAAGAAGGGGATGTAACCAAGTGGACTGAAGGATTTACTAAGCAGATTCTTCCGTGAGGTGGAAAAAGAAAAGGGAACATTTGGAAAATAGTGGTGTCTAAGTTTTTGTGGGTTTTTTAAAAAATAGTATTAAAGCATGGCTGTAAGATGCTTTCAGTCTCCTTACTCGGAGGTTGACTACGATAATAGGGTGCATTTACCTCACCCCAGATAATAAAGAAATAGATCGAGGAGAATTCGCTCTCCTTCCCCCATTTCTCTGCAAAGCCGCGGTTGATCAGAAAAGGTGGAAGGGAAAGCAAACTTTATTATTCTGTCGGGCACAGGGTTTTAGGGGGCCTATAATGAGTGGGAGTCTTTGCACTGTTCTGTTGGAGGGGTCACCCAGGAAAGGCTTCGAGGGCTGGAGGAGCCCAAGGCCTCCAAGCAGCCTCGCCGCCTTCCCTTTCCCTAGTTTCTTGTCTCCAAAGGCAGCATGGCGACTACGGCGCCGCTTCCTAGCTCCATCACACGCCCCACTTCAGAATCAAAATGGCCAAAGCCCCTTCCCCCTGGGGCCAGGGACTCCCTTCCCACCCCGTCTTACACCATGTCCCGCCAAAGGCCTAAGCTTACCAAGGAAAATGGGGTGAGGGGAGTTGGGGTGGGGGTAAGCGGGAAGCCCAGGGCCCCCTCCCTGCCTCGAAGGGCCTAGGAATGGAGGGGGTGGGGGCAGGGAGTGTTTAAACAGAGGAATCGCCCTACCCAGCGAGAGGGAAGGCTTGGCGACAAAACCTTGGCCAGTTAATGGGTCCCTTGAACCTCCGAAAAAGGAGGGTCCCCCTTCTTTCGAATGAGGGGGTGCCCGTCCCGTCGGGGAGCAGAGTAGGGGGTGGGGCAAGGAGGTGCCATGCCAGCGCCTCCAAAGTGACTGTTGCCTTTATGGGAAACCTTAGGACTAAAAGGGGGGACCCGATTTTTCCCCAAGAGTAGACGTCGAAAGAGGTGGCCGTAGGCTCAAATCAGGGCCCTAGCTATAACCCAGAAGACTGAGACTGGGCCGGGTAAGAGGGGTGGGCAGAGTGGGTGAAGAACAGCAGGTATCTGGGTGGGCCTGGCGAGGGGAGAACTACGAGAAGCTTGGGGGTGTCTTTTCTTACCGGAAAAAGTTTCGATGGCTTTCATAGCCCAGTGTTCGTCGGGGCAGTCCACGAAGGCGTAGCCGGATTTGACCAAGAACTGGCCGCTATAGGAGATCTTATGCTCCGCAAACACTTTCTCCAAGTCTGCTGGGGTGACGCTCTCGTTCAAATTGCCGATGTAGAGTTTATTCATGGTGGCGGTTTCGGGGGGCTGGAGGGAGTCCCCCGTATCGCCAAGCCAACAGGGAGAAGGCGACAATCCTAGGCCGAGAGGTGGGGGGGGGAAGAGCGCTAAACTTTCTTTCCACCCCACCCCTAAAGTTGTCCGGAGCCGAAGGGGGGCGGGGGAGAGGGCGGGGAGGGAGGCCGGAGGGAGAGGAAAGGGGAGGGGATGCAGCGGGGAGGGGGATGGGGGTGGGGTGGGGGGGGGAACGGCACTCTTTGGGGGGTGCCTGGGAGTAGGGGCCCGGCGGCTAAAAGGGAGGTGCTGGTAGCGGTAGCTGCAGCGGCAGCCACGGCTTCCCTTTCGGCCCGAAACCCCAGTGAGCCGAGCTCCTGTGTCACGTTTCTCCCCGGCCGCACAGGCGCCGCCTCTAAATAAAATCTACTTGGGGAAAAAAAATGGAGCGGAAAAAAAAAAGGGCGAAGCCACGTGGTGGAAGCCCCCACCCACCCGGGAGGGGGAGGCCTCGACGCCGTCGGCCCCCTCCTCCACTCGGCCTAGCCCACCCACCTCCCCAGTCTAGGGGCTCGGCGCGCCCCCCGGCCAGACTAGAGTGGGGTGGGGGCGGGAGGCAGGCTTCCGTGGATCTCCGCACCCGCTCCCCGAGGAGGCAGGAACTTGGGCCCCTCGGCGAGCGCCCCGCCCTCAGTCACCCACCCGTGATGATCGGAGCTGGCGGAGAGGAGGGGATCCCCTCGATCTCTTGGGATCGGGTGCTGGATTGTTTTTAATTCGTTTGTTTTCTGTAGGTTTCGTTAGGATTTTAGTTGAGGGCGCGCTTTTTTTTTGCCTTTTTTCTTTTAAATACACCCACCGCCTGCTTGTGTTTGCAGCTCCCAGTGGGGGGGTAGGGGGAAAGGAGGGCTAGCACGGCAAGAGACAAAGGGAAGTCACGGACTCCGGGGTCCACTGGAAGGGGGCTGCCGGGCGGTTCTGGGAGGGGAAAAGAGCATTTCCCCCAAGACCCTCAAGCTAGGTTCTCCGCCTCTCTCGCCGATCCGGGCCGCTTCCCCTGAATCCCAGGAAGGTGGCCGGAGCTTGCTGGGTCGCCCCAGGGCGAGGAAGCGGGCCACGCTGGGGCCACAGCGAAGTGCTGCGGGGATCAGAAGGAAACCGTGGAGGAATTCGAGAGATACTGCGGGGAGGGAGGACAAAATTGGGGATCCCGCTGACAAGTTCTTTCCAGGAACCCCCGAGGGGAAGAGAGAATAGGCTCGGTGCATCCACTTTAAGGGCAGAATGGACGAGCTAGGTAGATTACCGCGGGTGAAATGAACAGAACCGGAGAGGACGAGGTTAGGCGGCGGCTGGTGACTCGGGTAATAGGATTTTACCCCCTTTTCCTTCGTACCTGATGGGGGGCTGGGAGGTTGAAACAAGTGGAGTTATCTTCTCCTGGCCCCTCCCGGAGCCACAGGGCTCTTCATGAGGAGAGCTCTCCAAACATGGATTTCTGCTTCTTGGGTCCCCTACTCAGCTTGGGGTGTGGGGCTGGGTCAAGGGGCAGGGAGGTGGGTGAGGAAGCTGGAGATCCTAGGGCCCAAACCAGACTGGGTGGGTGGGGGAGGGAGAGAGAGTTTCCGCTCCGCGCTTGGGGAAGCGAGGGGCGGGGGCTTTGGGGAGGGGCAACGGGGGCCTCCCCTCCCCCCCTCTCATTTCGCTAGGGTGTGGGTGAGGGGAGCGGATCTGCCTGGGTCCTTCCCCACCCCCAACTCTTCTCTCCAACCGATTAGTCCCGCTTCCTCCGACCCGAGAGGCGGAGTGGGGAAGGGGCGGCACGTGGGAGGTCCGCACCTCCTCTCCTGCGGTGGGGGAAGAGGTGAATCGTATCCTCCGCGCCTTTCGGAATCTGCCGGGAACGGGAGAGAAGGAATCCTTGTTAGAGAACGGGACCCTCTCCGAAGTTGGAAACCAAAGGAGTTCCCAGTTGCTCTCCGGGGCCGGGATACCGGCAGGGGAAAGGACGAAGCAGCAGCCCCGGAGCACTCTAGGCCGGGGAGTTAGGAGGGGGAGAGGCGAGGAGTCCCTAAGCCTTCTGTTCCCCAAGCTGGTCGGTGGATAGGATAGGGCCCCGTGGGCCTTGAGAACGGGAGACTAGGTAGAGAGGGGCACAAGTGTCTGGAGAGTCCGTGGATGAAGGGGGTTACTGTCCCCTATTTCCCTATTGTCTGAGCCTCCATCGGGGCAGCACCCCAACACGTGTTGGATCTATCAATAAGACATCTGATTTAATATATTTTTCTTTTTAGAGCCAACCTCCAGGGCCAGTGGGCTGCCACCCACAACCCTCACCTCAGTCCTACCAATTAGCTTTATAAAGTCTAGAAAGTCAGCATTTTGAAACAATCTTCTCTGACACTCCACCACTTTTCTTCCTTGGGAGCTCATTATTAAGATCACAAGGAAAGAGTGGGCTTCACCTCTCCCTTTCCCAACCTACCAAAAAATTAAAAAAAAAAAAAAGAAAAGAAAAGAAGAACGGTGGTTTTTGCCCTAGCAAGACATGGGTTCATCGTTTTCTGCCCGGTTTGGGACAACTGCAGTTAAAATTTGTACAACTTTTCAAATCAGAGAGAATTTTGGGGGAGGGGGGAAAGGCTTTCTCTCCAAAGGGCTGTTAGACATTTGAGCCATCCCCCCCACCCCAGACAACAACCTTCTCACCACCCCTCCCCACTCTCACTAGAAAGATCGAATCAGCCAGCCCAGCCCAGCCCAGCAAACTCAAAAAGAAAACAAAACTTGAAACTGATTAATGTCCATTGCAGAACAAATGGAAAATTTTGAGAAAATTAGAAGAAATGACAGATTCTTTTGGACAGTAATTTAGGTGGGGGGGGGGAATCATTTGTTCCCCAGGAATATTTCTTGGTTACTGGAGATGGTCTCTATTTAAATAAACAAAAGGCAGACATTCAAAAATAACTAGCATCTTTAGGGCTGTTTCCTAGTCTTTTCCTCTCTCTTGTTGGACTGAATAGATGATAGAGCAGCCCTATTCTCCCCAAATCCTTTCTAAATTGGGGGAATAAAAGAAAGGCTAGGGACATGATCTCAAAGAAGGTAGTCTGTTTATCACTTATTTTTCTCCTTATTTTAAAGTTCAGGCTGAAAACTGAATGATAGACTTTTTTCTCCCATTAAAGTACCTTAAAGTACTCCATACATATGGGGCACTGTTATTATTGCCCCCTTAGTTTTTTTCCTATAGAGGAAAATTCCACAGTAGATCCCTTATCCTGAAATAAGAAAGCCCAATTCTACCCCCACCACCACCATCACCACCACCACCGAAGCCTCCTGATTAGGAAATGCTTCCCTCCCTGTCCACCATTTCTTAAACCTAACTCAGCTTGCTTCTCCAGGCACAAACAGGTTTGGGGAAGAATTTGAATTTAATTTTAATTGGCTGTTTTCAAAACACAATTACTAGCCAATTTAATCCAATTTCAAGTTTGCTAAATCAGCTTCTGCAGTTGGAAAATGGTCAAAATTTGTGATTATAAATCTGGTTGAGTTGTTCGGTTTGTTTTTTTTTAATGGTGGTTGCCAACATTTGTCTGACAAAATTCACCATCTATTTTCCAATCACCAGTTTCACTGAATTCTAACATTTTCTCTCTGATGGTTGTTTGTGTCCCCTCCCCCAAGACAGTATCCATACTGCAGAAGAGAACTGGGCAGCTGCAGTGAGATGCAGACCCTTCAGTTTGTCAAATCACTTTTGCCTCAATGATCTGGATATTCCAGGCAGAAAGTTTTTTTGTTTTGTTTTGTTTTGTTTTTTACCATAATGTTTCTGTTCAAGACTTCTTTTCCCAGTCCTTGTATCAGCTGGGGTCAGTAAAGTCAGCATGGTGAAGAGTGGCATTTCTTGGTAAGGCTAGAATACCAAGTGAGAGGACAGGAAAATTTCCAGCATTTGCTATCTTTATATTTAATTCTCCAATACTCACATTAAGGGGGGGGGGGAACAATTAGAAGTCCATTTCTATTTGTTTCCAAAGATATCATAACTTCCTTTAGAAGACAGCTTTTTTCAGCCTCCTCAGATGAGTCCTTGACACAAAGTTTGATTTAGATTTGGAAAGATTCGCAAATATACCTTCTGGACAAAAGAATTCCCTTCTTTTTCAAACAGGTATTTGATCTAGTTAGAGAATTTAAAAGTATCTCTGAATTAAGAAATATTGGAAATTGCCTGCATGTTAAAGTTTCTATAAGGAAACTTTCCTATATCTGAATAATGTCTCTAACCCACTCCCAGTTACACAATGAATTTTTAAATCTAACATTTAGTATTTGTCAAAACTCAGAAGTGTTAAAAAAAAAAAGACAAACATTCAGAGGTATGGGAAGAAGTTGAGGAGTTACATGAAGATGAAATCTTTTTTTTTGTCATTTGAAAGCAATAATTTCTTAGATAATGTCCTGTTCTTTATTGAATACATTAAGAAGTTTAAAAAAATCAAATTTCTTGGCATGTAGCTGCTTTAATTTATTCTCTCCCCCCCCAGCCCCTCACCCCATTGTAACTGCTTTGGGGTATTTTGTTTCTTCCTACAACATGAAATCTTAGTGGGTTTGTGTGTGTGTGTGTGTGTGTGTTCTAGTTTTGTTGTTGTTTTTTTAAAAATACTATAAAAGTTTGAAAAATGTAAATGAGTACCAGTTTAAAAGGGGCACTACATTTCCTTTTGTCAAAGAAATAAGGGTAATTATATGATTAGAATTACATACAAAATATAAGAGAACAGAGAGAAGGGGAAGGGATATTTCCCCCCCATCAAATTATAATTCAACCATTTCTAGTATATAAAGGCTCAAAAGAAAAATGTATGTTTATCCTAGAGACTCAGTACTTGGAAGGAGTAGGGGAGCCCTTTAATAACATAGTTGTTTGTCATTCTGTGTGTGTGGCATGATTGCTCAAAAATTATTTTTGCTTAGAATGAGATATATTGTACAGATGTTCCTGGAGGGTGGGGTGGGGGATGGGGAGTGAGGTGGGAAAAGGAAGAAGGTTCTAGGAGGGAAAGGGA